AAGCCTCGTGCCGTACTCCCTGTCGGAGCGCAGCTCAGAATAGTAAAGCCAAAGCCTTGTAATTTGCCCCACGCTTTTGTCATCCGCGGCTCGCAAGCGTCGCATACGAAGGGCGGCGATCAAAGGCAGCCGTGGAATGCGCGAGGAACGCACGGATGCCGCGGCCGCCTCGCCTGATTGTTTTGCTCTTGGCGTGTTTGGGATTGGACGGAAGATGCCTTTCGGCGCCTGAAATCATGCTCGAGCGTCAATTATTTTCCGCCAAAACGCCGCCAAACGCAACGGTTGAAGTGATGCGGGAAGCGCAGCCATGAAGACGAAGTGTTTGCAGACACTTTAGAGGTGGCAAAGAAGGCAAAAGAGTGAAAGATCTGTTGGAATTTGCAGCACGTTTGGGACCTTTGTTGAAATCAAAAGCCGCCCCAAGCGGGTCAGGGGACATTTTCACAAATATCGGACCTCCAAATTATATCGAAAGGTTTTTGTCGCCACGTTGTGCAAAGACTCGCACGGCATCAGAGGCATCTCATGTTCAAAAGGCCCCGCTCGGGGCAAAGCAGCGCCGAACGCCGCGTCGTGTCGACCGAGTGCGGAAAGCGTGGCGCAAAGGTGACGTTGGCGACAAGCGGACGTCGCTCCGACGCGGACGCAAAGGCGAGAAAGCGGTCGGGGCGGCTGCCGCAAGAAACGGAAGGAGCTTGAGGCGTTTCTCGCAAGTCCTGCCCGCTGAGCGCGTGACGACAGTCTCCCGTCTTTTTTTGCGCTCCTCTCCGCTCCGGCGGCCGGCAGGATGGAAGGAAGCCTCCCTTTCCGCATGTTTCTAGGTAACCGCCTTTCACGCTTCCCCACCCAAATGCGCCGCTTTCTTCTGGCGATGGCGCTCCACCCTTTCTACAAAAGGTCGGCTGAGTCATTTTGGCATCAAACGCCCGTGAAAGCGTAAGCCGGCCTGGCAGAGCTACTGAGAGAGGCCCCGATGAGTCGGCGCGCCGTTTGCCAGGATTCCTTTTTGTCTTTATTAGCGCTCGCAGCACATGTTTGATACATCCCGGCCACACCGTCTTCTGCTTTATGACGCGTGCGCTCTGCCCCAAAAGCTTTGCGCGCCAGCCAGCGCAACATTTGTCCGGCCTTTTATGGACCGCGAATGATTTGATTTGCACGCGCGCGAACCAGCGGGCCCGTCGGCGGATCCTCACGCTCGGCCTCTTTTCCGCTCGAGCGACCCGAAACGTCATTTCAGCGACTCGCCTCCCTCCCAAAATGGCGCGCGTCGCGATGAGTCCCGGAACGCGTCGCGATGGCCGGCGAGCCGCCCCGTCGCCGGTCAGCTCACTGACCGAGCGCTCCCGCTACTTGATCAAGAGGACTTGTCATTTTTTGGGGGTCGCGTTCGTCCCGACCCCGGGAC